TTACTCTTAAAATCTAGTGCGTGCAGAATCAGGGGTACCCTGAGTTCTCATAATTCCTGCAGCCCGGTCATCCCAAAGCACTGTCAAAAAGCAGACTTAACCCTGAGCCTAAACCCCTAAACTGCCGTCTTCAGGCGGCGCACTACTTGTGGCCGCCTGACAACGTGGCCTCTGAACTGACCGGTGGCGTGCCACGTGGCGTGTTATCGATGGACCTCTTGGGAGGGCGAGGTCAGTAAGGAGGGGAGTTACTAGGTGTGCGTACGGGTGAGTGACGTGGGGTGAAATACGCGTAGGGTTGAGAACCAAGTGGTGGTTGGTGATGGCGTGTTCACGAGAACTAGGTGCTCATGCGTGGCTTGCTACTGTTCAAGCGAGCAGTGCGTGTGTAAGCCAGGTGGTGGCGAAGCTGAGATCGGTTGCTGCTGAAAGGATAGTACCGTCAATCTCGTGGATCCACAGGATGCGACATTTGCTCGAGGTCACATGGGGGCTGGAGGAGGGGCCACCCCCCCACCTAGATGCTATTATAGGCTCTCCACGACTGGACGACTTGATGCGGCACTACTACGACAAGCTTGAGAAGGGGCAAGGTCTTTGCGCTACGCTGGAGGACCTCTGCTATGATGACGATGACGACACCACGGAAGACGCCAACAGCATCAACCTCAACATCGACTGCAAAGACAACGGCAATCTCACCTATATGGCCGTCAATCTCAACAACAACAACAACAATGACAAAAGCAACAACAACAACGACGATAACAACGATTGTGGTGATAACAACAACGACAGTAACGATAACAACAAAATCAGCAACAACATCAGCAACGACGACGACAACAACAACAACAACAACAACAACGACAACAACAACAACAACAACAATAACGACGACGATTGTGATCTTCGTGATGATGGTGATGACATATGCATCCAAGTCATTCAGGTCATCGCCACCGATAACAACGACCATTTTGTTGGCTGTGAAGTCAACATTTACAACAGCGATTCGGATGGGAGCGGTCGCTGGGTGCAGCGGGCTCCTACCACGATTTTTGTCATATTCAGTGGAGGTTGGTTTTTTGGGAGGGGATCACTTTCTGCATGTTCACGAGCTGTTCGTGCCGGCGAGATAGCATTGCGCTCCTTCAGTGGGATCCGGGTGGGAGGGTCGCAGGGTAGGACAGCGGCCTTGGGGGCCCCTCATTTACCCATCTGTGCTATCTAGAGAGGGGCGCTATAACTGGCGTATCATCTGACTCGATTGCCTTCTCTGATTTAGTATCTCAAGAGCTATACAGGGTAGGTAATGACTTTGTAATGATTTTGGGATCGGATCATCCGCTATAATTGACTTTCTAACTTTTTAACTTCCTATTATGAATGTCTCTCCTCCTCATGGCGCTGCAAGGGTTTGTTGGCAGTTGATGAGGGTTTCAGAGTAGGGATCTGATTTGGACTATGATGGGCAGTGAATCCCCTCGATTGAGGGCAATCAATGTTGCTCATCAGTCAATGGAGTGTGCCTACGCGTTGCTTTAGGTGACCACTCATGTTTATAGTACGATGGACGTGTGGCATGTCAACATGAGCCCTGTTTGTTTACAGACTACTGAATTCTAAATGTTAAGGGATGCTGGACCCGGTTTCCAGCAGGTGTTGCTCCCCACCAATAGATGGAGCCTCCCCGAGTATGCTAGCGGTGTCTGCTCTTATCAGCACCCCTAGCAGGAAAAAAAAAAAAAAAAAAAAAGAGAAAACTACGGCGCAGTCAGGGTTACAGTTTGTAATTGCATTTGAAACTGCGTTTTAGCAGCTTAGTCAGGGCCCGAGT